GACAGCTTTTCAGCGCTGGTGTACAGAGAAAGGTGTAGAGGCCACCTCATGTCCATTAGGCGGCGTGCTGTCCTTTCTACAACAGCTGATGGACAGGAAGTTGGCATTCAGCACAATTAAAACGTACGCTGCAGCTATCTCTTCCTGCCACGAAGGGTTCGGAGACAGAACAGCTTTTAATCATCCGCTGATGAAGCGTTTTCTAAAAGGTGTACAGAGACGCAGGCCTGTTTCACGCCCACTTGCTCCACAGTGGGATTTAATGCTGGTTCTGCGAGCCCTGATCAAAGCTCCATTTGAGCCTCTGGACCAGGTTCCACTTAAATTCTTGTCTCTTAAAACAGTCCTGCTGCTGGCTTTAGCATCCGCTAAGAGGGTGAGTGATTTATCTGCCCTCTCTGTCGCTCCGTCATGTCTCAGAATTCAGGCTGACGGCAGCTCAGCTGATATAAGACCAAACCCAGCTTTTATGCCTAAAAACATCACGAGCTCCTTTAAATCAAGAGCAATATCGCTGGAGGGGTTTTCCCTTCCCCCCACAGATCAGAAGAAGAAGCATCTTTCCATCTTCTCTGTCCTGTGCGGGCGTTGACGTGTTACATAGCGCGCACAGCTGTAATGCGCCAAACTCAACATTTGTTTGTGCATTATAGAGATGCATCTGCAGGTCGTCCGTTATCCACCCAGCGTTTGTCACACTGGCTGTGTGAGGCCATTTCTGAAGCCTACAGAGCATCAGATTTAGAGCCTCCTGTCAACCTCAGAGCACACTCGACCAGGGGTATCGCATCTTCGACTGCCTTGCATAATGGTATGACAATGCAGGATATTTGCACTGCGGCTGCGTGGTCAACACCCTGCTCATTCATTCGCTTTTGTCTGCGTGATGTGACAGTTTGTTCCATGACACATTCTATCCTTAGTGTTCTAACAGAATGAATATTATTGTTTTCATGGAACTCTGTTTAAGCTCACACCTGTCTGCATGCATTACAGTGTGAGATGTTGGTATCAGTCACAGGTTGTGTCTGTTATTTTGGTTCTATTGTCACTAATCAGTTCATGACTATTGTTACCAATCAGTTCATTTGATTAGTAATCAGTTCACTTGTTATTATTAATCTGTTTATACTGTTCAGCCATGAATTAGTTGGTTCATGCCCCCCCCCCCCTTTTCAACATCTTCCCTCCCCGTTGAAATTTTCCGGGGCGTTCATGTTTTTCAGAACGCATAGTTACAAAACATGCGTCTGTGCATGCCTCACATAACTACGCAATGTGTAATTATGCACATGGGGAGCTGATTGACAAGACGTTTTTGTGGGCAAGCTTCTGTCTCATACGGTGTTTGAATGGACCCAGTGAGGCGAGGACCACATCCGCTTCGCCCTTAACCCATCAGCGACAGCCTTAAAGGGCGAAGCCTATACGAAATAGAACGTTGGTTACGTACTGTAACCCCAGATTCTATGAGTATAGGCGTAGCCCTTTAAGCGTCGGGCCTCACTGGCTCCTGAATGGCTGAAGAAAAATAAAGCTATTTGGGAGCCGATTACCCGCTCTTAACGTAACTTATACGGATCGATTGGGGCTCACACAGCAGGTGGGCGTGGACTAAATTCTTTCAGTGTGATGCTTCGTATAATGGGATAAACCCATCAGCGACAGCCTTAAAGGGCTACGCCTATACTCATAGAATCTGGGGTTACAGTACGTAACCAACGATTTTCAGGATAGGTTATACAGGAAGTGGTTCTAAATTGGTTTAAATCATATATATCTGATAGATTCTAATTTGTAATTGTAAATAATGAATCTTCATCATACACCAAAGTTAGTCATGGAGTTCTTCAGGGTTCAGTGCTTGGACCAATACTCTTTACCTTATATCCAGTATACTTCCGTTATTAAACCGCATGGAATAAATTTTCATTGTTATGCTGATGATACACTGTTATATTTGTCCATGAAACCCAACAAATCCAATCAGTTACTTAGACTGCAATCATATCTTAAAGACGTAAAAACCTGGATGTCCCTAAATTTTCTGCTTTTAGTTTTTGGACCTGAGCATCTTAGGAATGAATTTTTCAGTCTTTCTCCCTCCTTAGATGGCATTAATCTGTCCTCCAGCTCTAATGTTAAAAATCTTGGTGTTATTTTTGATCAGGACATGTCTTTTATCCGCCACATTAAAAACATTACTAGAACTGCCTTCTTCCACCTGCGTAATATCGCTAAAATTAGAAACATCTTATCTAAAAATTATGCAGAAAAACTGGTCCATGCATTTGTCACATCTAGACTGGACTATTGCAATGGTTTATTATCTGGATGTCCAAATACGTCTTTAAAACGTCTTCAGTTGATCCAAAATGCTGCTGCCAGAGTCTTAACTGGAGTTAATAGGAGAGATCATATTTCTCCAGTTTTAGCTTCTCTCCAATGGCTCCCTGTCAAATCCAGAATAGAATTCAAAATCCTACTTCTAACCTACAAAGCTCTCAACAACCTAGCTCCATCTTATATATGAGATCTTATTGTTCCATATTTTCCTAACAGAGCACTTTACTCTCAGACTGCAGGTTTATTCGCGGTTCCTAGAGTTTCCAAACGCAGAATGGGAGGAAGATCTTAATCTTACATAAACTGAATTGAAAAAAACTGAAAGTTCATGGCAAAAACCAACGCAGATATGTTTCTGTTTTTAGTATTTTACATCGCTTTATAATGTAGCTGTTTTTTTTGTTTAGATTTTATATAATTTTTTCTGAGCCCAATCCGAAACGACTAATTAACTGTGATTACATGCCCGAACCTGAAAAAAAATCCCAACAATTTTTTATTAAGCTTTTACTGCTTTTGTAAGCAAATCAGTTTGACATGATTTAAAAACATATTTCAAAGAAAGGAAGATATAAGATTTCTTGTTTATTAACAAGAGTCAGCGGATTATTATAGTTATAATAATATAGTTATTATAGTTATTAACGGTCAGTGGACACGCGCATCTGATGATCCAAATTAGGTCCGTTGGCTGTGCTCGTCTGCTGACACAGCGGCTGAGTCCAGTTAAGTTACAGGTGGGCTGCTGGCAGTGAGCCATCTGGACTGTTTTTAACCTCTTTCAACTGGCCGGTCAGCACGCGGTCAAACGTCTGCGCACATCCGCTGACTCAATCAAAAGCCCAAAACCGACCTGGCCCGCCCATCCAACACATTATTTTGGCCCGGCCCGAATTTTGGGTTCAGGTCAGGTGTGGACCCGGATTAGAAATGACAGCTCTACTTCTAACTCCTGTTTGGGAACACAGAAATAGAGCTGTCATTTCTAACCCGGAGCCCATAATAATGTGCTTAATGAGCGGGCTGGGCCAGTGTCGGGCTTTTGATTGAGTCAGAGGACGCATGCTGCTGACAATCCAATTATATGGCAACATGGTTTGCCATACTTTCACCAGCCGCATGCGGCCATTTGACCGTGTGCTGACCGGCCTTTAAAGAGGTAAAAAAAAGTTCAGTTAAACTTCAGATGGACTACTGCCAGGCAGTGATCAATCAAAGCCCAAATGGACATTCAGTCTGCACTCAGCGGACGTGTGCAGTCGACGACCCAAACATGTGAGATCCCAAAATATCCTCGCAGACATGTCACAGCAGGGTCCGTGTCTGAATAATGCAGAATGCCGGCAGAAACAGGGACTGAATGCGCTTTGACGGTCATGAAAGGACAAACACCCCCTCAGCTCCGATCTTCTGCACCTTTTTTCAGCCACGCGTGTCCGCCAACCGTTAATAACTATATAAGCAGTAAAAGCTTAATTAAAAATATTGGGGTGGGGAGGTGGGGGGGGCGGGGTTGGGTTCGGACTTGTAATTACTGGTAATCCGTCTGGTCGGGTTCGGAATTGATGTCTACGAGCTGGGGCTGGGGGTCGGGTCAGATTTTTGGGCCTGAATGCAACTCCACACAGAAACCAATCTCAGTGAGACAATTCTAGCTCAGTGTTTTGATAGTAGTCTAGCCAGCTGTCCAGCATCTGCAAGTGTGCCTGATAACATCTCAACAAACTTGACTACAGGGGCAGAGCCAATGTCTTCAAAACCCAGGTCAGCAGTATTGTAGAATACTACTCCTGGCTTGTTTGGATTAATGCTTTACAGACCGCTCATAGGCACATCCAGAAAAAAACCTTAAAGGTCATTAGTGTGGTCAAGGACTCTGCCCAGAGGTGTTACGCCATCACCAAATTGATGACGACACTGCAACATCTGTTCCCTAAAAGATGCGTACCCCCAACTGCCTGGTGAATCTGAGGGAACAGCTTTCTGCAGCTCATGCAACAGGTCATTTCATCCAGTGTTGGTGCTCCTCACGCCCTCCATGAAGCACCAGGACATGTCTCCACTCTGCTGGGACGATGTGGAGCCTTCCTCCTTGTTGGAAACATCCCATCAAGATATCCTGATTCATGCTCGATAATCCAGGCAGAAAAAAAATCCAACAAAGTTAAGTCTGGTCCTCAGGATGTTTTGAACCAATTTGGCCATGACTACCTCAAACGACTTGATGGGGGAGAGGGCGGACTACAGAAACCACCTGAACACCATCAAACTGGCTGATCCAATAAGAGAAGGTGAAATGTATAAGACTGAGTTTGTTGTGGCTCCTCGGACTGATGAAGTCTTTTGGATGAAAGACGAAACATTTCAACAAAATAAACCGTCCAGAGGACCTGACTTAACTTTGTTGTATCCATCAAGAGGTGTTCAAGTCTTTGATCAGAGGCTGAACCAGCTCCTCCTGAACAAGGGACTGTAGGTCCAGGACTCAGGGACACTCAGATCAGTGTTGGGCTTTCTTCATGTTCATGGCCTGTATCTGCCATTGTTTTCTTATTTAACTTACTTACTTATCAACTATACTTAGTTTGAAGTATTTATTGAGCATTATACACTGTATTAGGCACTGGCAGGTTCAAACAAGAGTTTGAACCTCCCCCTCGTTGTTTGAGTTGGGACAGCTGCACACAGCTCGGTGTGCAGCTGCCACAGGGAGGGGAGGCTCTCAGTTTAAAGGTTAACCTCGGTAAATCTCTTTGGAAAACACTGGTCTTTATATAACAAGTCAAACAGAGAACGCGTGCAGACAGTCACATGCAGAAGGAGAACTGAAGCTCTTCTCTCGCTGCTGGGAGCTCCACGCTCGAAGGAGCAGTAAAAATGTCCATGTGTGAGTTTGAGTCTCTGGAGAAATCCCTGGAGTCGCACCTTCCAGAAGCGGAACTGGCCCAGGTGAAGAGGATCTTATTTGGAAAGGAAACACTGTGAGTTCAAACTGCTGTAATCATTTATTTACATTGATACACTCACAAACTGTTGATACATGTTTTTACTTTTCTATTAGTTTCTGGTCAATTATTCAACAGAGTGAACTTTGATCCATTCCCCCAGAGCTGCAGAGAACAAAGCCCACCCTTTAAACACTGAAATCTGGGTTCAACCGATGAACAACGTATTCAGAAAGCAATCAAACTGTGTATTTTGTTGACGTTTTAATAAATAGTCATAAAATTATTGTAAAATAGTTTGAATTGTTTGTAATTTGTCGAGGATGCCGAAAATGTGCTTTTAGCCTTAATTGTAGTACTGCTCATGTGCAGTTAATATCCATGTTTGTAGTTTTACACTTGTACTTACGTAAATTTAGCATCATTCCATGTTTTTACTGAATGACCGTGTCTTTCACTGTAAAAGTGTGTGATAAATGTTAGTTCCTCAGAATGAACAAACCAATCTTTGGTCTTGCTTATTTGTGTGTTTGCTGCAGTCTACCAATAAATAAAATGGATATATGTGAAGTGTGCACGACCCGATCAAAATGTCACTTTATTCTTATGTAAAACATTTCAAATATTTTTCCACCTTTCAGCATGAACGTGGTGAGGAAATATAGAAGCTAGCTGCATGAATGTAAATTTTTCAGCAAAATTCAATCTCCAGCTGAAGAAAAGCAATCCCACAGCATGACACCGCCACCACCATGCTTTTCAAAGTGAGCATGGCGGGGTTTATTTATTTATTTGTTTATTTTTGGTCATTCACAGTCTTGTTCCTGAACTAAAACAGACATTTTTGAGTTGTGGTCCAAACTTTTTTTTTTACTTTGGGTTCACAGATCACACGCTTTCGGGAAATTATCTTTTTTTTTCAATGTTTTACTGGATGTTTTCTTTGAAAGAGAAAGAAAGCTTCTCTACCTCTAGAGTTTAGACATATGGAGAACAGCATTCAGAACTCAACATCTCCTGCAGCTCAGACAGTGTTTGTGTAGACCTTCTGACAGCCTTCATGATCAGTTTCTGTCTCATCAGTGTTAAAGAAATGTCCCGTTAGCTTTAAATCCACATTTCCTCTATTTATTGATGACTGTCCTCGCTGTGGTTCATTGGTGTTTCTCATGCTGGAGACATTTTCCTCCCTTCTCCTGACTGACATCTTTAATAATAATGTGATGTCATCATTGTATGTTCTCATACAATGGTGAAACTGCCTCTCTTCATTTAACCCAGTGAGCGGTGGGCAGCTATTGAAGGCGCCCGGGGAGCAATTGGGGATAGAGTGTGCTGCTCAGAGACACCACGAGATGTGCAATGACTGGGGATCGAGCCTGGGGCTTTCGGGTCCCGGGTCAGCTACCCTGTCTCTGCCCCATCTCAAACACCATGAGATGCTTTTATTCTTCATGAGCTCTTTGGAGAGCACAACTTTTACTCCACATTGATCTGAGTCACTTTCCAAAGTTTTTTTGTCACATTTTTCCTCCACAATTTATATTTTTTTATCCAGCCAAATTGTACAGGAGGCAGCACGGTGGTGCAACTGGTAGAGCTGCTGTCTCTCAGTAAGACGGTTGCCGACTCAAATCCCAGTCTGGGAGCCTTTCTGGGTGGAGTTTGCATGTTCTCTCCGTGCATGTGTGGGTTTTCTCCAGGTACTCCAGTTTCCTCCCACAGACCAAAAACATGCATGTTAGACTGATTGATAACTTAAATTGTCTCTAGATGTGGGTGAGAGAGTGAATGGTTGTTTGTCTCATTTGTCTCTGTGTCCCTGTGATGGACTAGAGACCTGTCCAAGGTGTCCCCCGCCTCTCGCACAGTGAAGGCTGGACATGGACACCAGTGACCCCTGCAACCCGAAAAGGAAGAAGTGGGCAAAAGATGATGGATGGATGGAAATTGTACAGGATATGTATTACAGTAAAAATGGTCAAAGTTTATTATGGTGTCGTGTTGTGTTGACACAACCTGAGATTGTAAAAAAAGGGGTGGGGACTTTTTATACTCACGTTGTGTAAGTTGTGTACAGGAAGTTGGAGCTTCCAGCCTTCGCCGTTCAAGCTGCTTCTGAGCGTGACTTTGAGCTGAAAGGTTACAAGTTTGAAGCTGCACAGGAGCAACTCAGACCACCCAGAAGAATCAGAGTGGGACTCGTCCAGCACCGCATCGTTTTGCCAACTGATGCTCCAATCCTGGACCAGGTCAGGACTTGAATAGGTTACTTACCTCCACATGCAGTTACTGTGAGTTAGAAACAACCAGGATGGTTGGAGAAACCTTATAAACAATATTGCTATCATAGCTAAAGGTACTAAAGAAAAACCACAGGGTAACAAGTCTTGCATGTCAGTTCCGATCTTTCTCCCTCAGATCGGTGCCATGCACAGTCGTGTTGGCGAGATAGTTGAGGTTGCAGCCATGTGTGGCGTGAACATCCTCTGCTTCCAGGAGACCTGGAGTGAGTACTTTTCTGTTCATGCATGTCTCAAACTTGAGAGACAAGGTTGCAGAAGAATGACACGCAGGTGTTTGTGTTTGCAGCTATGCCCTTTGCTTTCTGCACCCGAGAGAAAGAACCATGGACGGAGTTCGCAGAGTCCGCTGAGGAAGGAAACACCACACGTTTCTGCCAGGAGGTGAGAGGACACACGTGTTTTACCTGCACAAGATGGTCACCACGGCTAAGCAATCTTAGCTAGCACAAAAATGTGTATAACTTAGTCAAATTAGTAGCTACTGAGCTAAAGTTTGAAGTTGTAGTAGCTGAAAGTTATCCTCAACACACATTCTGAAGGCCAGCACATCTAAGATCTTACAATGTGTACGAGATTTGACCAAAACACTCGTACAGTGAGTCCGTTCTTTCTCACAAGATGATTGTAGCTTTCAACAGGTGGTGGACGACATGCACAACCTTAAAGAACATTAGAGCTGTAATTATTTTCTGGATCTTTAATTAGCTTGCCAGAAAATACAACATGGTAGTTGTCTCCCCGATCCTGGAGCGAGAGGAGCTGCACAACACTCTGTGGAACACGGCGGTGGTGATCTCCAACTCTGGAAATGTGCTGGGAAAGAGCAGGAAGAACCACATTCCCAGGGTGGGAGACTTTAACGAGGTTAGCAGACGGCAAGCTTCGTTGCAGCTGTTCCAGAACTTAGAAAATAAATATATAAAAGAACAAGCTGTGTTTGTTCCTTTCAGTCCACGTATTATATGGAGGGTGACACAGGCCACACTGTGTTCCACACACAGTTTGGGAAGATTGCAGTAAATATCTGCTTTGGACGTCATCACCCCCTGAACTGGTTCATGTACAGCATGAACGGAGCTGAGATCATCTTCAACCCCTCTGCCACTGTTGGTGCTCTCAGGTAATACTTCAATTGTTGCTCCCGGGAATAATTAGGTGAGGAACAGATCACCTGATTTTCATTTGTGAAGTGTCTTTTTTTTAAGATTTGAAAAAAAAATTAAGGAAACATCTAAAAACTGTTTAAAAGCTGGTTTAAAACGTTTTAGAGCCATGAAAAACTAATTTATTAATATTTTGTCTGGAATACTTCTGATGATTCTCTATATATCTCTATCTTTGTTTAAAAATAAATAAATAAAA